ACAGGAACAAAAGAAAAGTATATGAATATCAGCCAGGTTGCTATTTTAACGCAACTGTACTAATACTGGCTGAGAATAATTTATTGACAATTGATTACTCCATGATTAGGACCTCTGGGTGGGGTTTTATTCCTAGTCAAATACATATAATTTAAATAGTAAGACTGTCAACGAGTTCTCTGAGGGGATGGCAAGACCATTAAGGCAGCTCTTGTGTATATAGACAGGTGGAGATTCTGTCAATATACCAGGGGCCTGAAACAGAAGAAAGTTTAACATTTCCAAAACAGAATTTTCGATATCTGAGATCACTAATGATAAACATCTGTATCATGTTAGGTAGTCATACAAAGGTGTATTATTTTAATACGTCAATGCGCAATAAGATGAAAATCACAAACATGGATGGGCAATTCATTTTCCCAAGAAACCACAAGAGAATTCGGGACTGTTCTGGAGGGTCGGACCAATAATACTGAGCAGAATTGACTTCAGGTTAACAATATTATCTCTTTGTAAACTTACACAGTACAACAGTTCCAGTTTCTGATGTGGCCCGTTGGAAAATATAATTGCCCATCCCTGGTGTAGATTATTTTTCTCCTTACAAAACAAAGAAACTATGATTGGATACAAATATGAGGAACTTAAAAAAAATGTAATAAAGGTAAAAGCAAGACCAAAACCAGGAATGAAAACTTTCAATGCTGCTGACGGTGTGACAGTATAATTTAACAGGCTTATTATTAATACTGCAGTCCAATCTTTAAATACGTAATATAAAAAATACAGAATTGTAATTAACATGTTAACGGTATTTTAGGGTGTGTAGGACCGACAATTTTATAGCGTTTTTCTGGCAAACAGAAGACAATGTTTTCCTTTTATCATTAGCATTTTAACAATAAAGATGTTTTAAGTTCAGTAAATTAAACTGGACCTTAAGAAAATGCTGGTTAAATATATTTTAATCACAGTCCTGGTGATTTTTCTTTGGTGGAAGGCCAAAAATATTTCATTTGCATTTTGAAAATAAAGCAGAAAATCTGAGAGTAAAAACTGAAAAACTGCAAAGCTGAAAAACAACCAACACATACTTTACTCCGTGATGATCACCAGAAAGAGTCACCTTACCCAAAAACTGCTTATGTCCTTCTACGTCTGCTCCTAAGAGGGCATATTAACATACTGTGTGTGTGTGTGTGTGTGTGTGTGTGTGTGTCTACTCTGACAGCTTCAGTTGCAAAGACGAAAGGGTTTAAGCAGATCATCAGACGCCCTCCTTAGGAGATCGTTACAGTTCCCATTACCTCAAAAAAACCAACAGGATCATCATAAAAGATGAATCCCAACACTGGACACTTTCTGTTTGAGCGTAGGCTAGCAGATGATCCAGGACATAAAAACAATAAACACATTTTTTAAGAGAATCAATCTGGCAATCAATGCTCATAGAATATAAAAGTAAAATATCTTGTATATTGTTGTAGATTATTTAAGTCTTTTTTTCTTTGATGTCTGAATTAAGATAACATACAATTTCCCTGTACAGGTGAAATGACAATAAAATATTTTTTATGTGACCCTAATACTTTCTGGAGGGCCCTTGTAGGTTTTAAACGCACGAAAAACATTACGAGTATATTCAGAGAAATACGCAAACAGATATAAGTCCAGCGGACGTTACCAAGGACATCATTCTCCTCTACGGTTGCCATGGTGAATCCTAGAATCGACACTCCATTGATGACGACTTTTTAAATAGTCGTCGCGCACGCGCTCGGCTCGAACCCAGTTGTTTAAACCAATTCCATGTTATTTTTCCTCCCTGTCTCTCTGACTCTCTCCAGGAATAAAACCACAACAATGACTGCAACAGGCCTGAAACGTTCAGGTCCAGCCCAACATGAGCAGAAATACAGGCGTTTCACCAAAACCTGAGCTAATAAAATGAGCATTTCAACACCACTTTACTTTTCCTGACGCTGGCACGTCTGCGCAGACTTGGCAGCCACTCAGGGTTGCATTGACTTGTTGGTGGTAATGACAGCGTGTCTTGTCTGACATCTGAGACAGCTAAAGGAAACGTCTTAAACAAGTGCTAGCTGATATTATCAGGTCTAAATGATCGTGAGGTGAAGAAAAGCTCAAAGACAGCGTTGCTCATATCGGCCAGCTACCACTGCTACTGCTGCTCCACTAGCTTGTTAGCTTAGTATAGCGCTAGCTCGCTAGCTATTTAGCCTCCTAACGTTACGCCCGTGTGTGATTTGGAGTTTTCTTTGCTAGACGATGTGTCACTGTGCACTCTTCGCACACTACCTTCACGTTACAATGTGTCAACTCAACAGCCATGCAGCGATTAAAGGGGGAAAAACGGCAAAGCGTCACCGCGACCCCAGCTGGATACCTGACCAGGCAGGAGACAGCATGCATTGGGGAGAACCTGCCACTCAAACCTCGATCAGTCACGATGATCCTCCGCGCCAATTTAACCAGAACATAAAACCCAGGGGTGGCAGCTGACCACCCGGAGAGCTTCACATACCATTCTCTTCACCGTTGAGACTCAGGAAGAGCTCTGTCGTGGCTTTTATCCATCTATCAGCGGTACTCTCAGTTAGCCTTGGAAGGAAAGCCCGGTAGACGTTGGAGAGATCCGCTTCGGTTGCAGCTCCAACGGAAGGTTGCCTTTTCATAATTGTGCGACTCCAGACTGACGCTGCATGACGAGCCGGCTGACTCAGCCAGCTCATTGTCACGTGGCGGAGGCGGAGCCAGCAGCCACATGTGCGCTTTGTTTTATTTCCTCTGTTTTTACGAAGCCGCCACGAGGTGACGACTTACGCTAAAGCGATTAAATTCAGTTTTATTCATATAGTGCAAACCTGTATCAACAACTGTCGCGAGGCGTTTTAAGATAAAGACCCTACAACCCCATCATCCAGCAATCCCACTTAAGCAAGCTCTTGGTAATGTTGGGGCGGAAGAACTCCCTTTCCACAGGAAGAACTAGTGATGCGCGAATCATGAACGAATCGTTCAATACTCGAGAATCACTTTACTGACTCATGAATCATGATTCACAAGCCCAACTGACTCATCCCTGTTGCTGTTAGCAGCAATATATCTAGCTTATAAATAAAATTGTGGAGAAAAACACAACAACCAGTATCTTAACAAAAAAAATTCTGCTCTGAACTGGAAGAAAAAACCCTGAGTAGAAGCTCACATCAAGACAATAGCTCCTTGGTTCACAGTAGCATCGCTCTGCTAACATGCTAACAGCACATTTGAGCTACTCACCCCCTCCCTTCCTGTGCTGAATCATAAGCGTAAGCGAATCACTCAGGACTCACTAACCCCCTCCCTCCTGTGCTGAATCGTAAGCGTAAGCGAATCACTCAGGACTCGCTCACCCCCTCCCTCCTGTGCTGAATCGTAAGCGTAATGCTGGGCAGACACTGTGCGATTTTTTCAGTCGTGCGATTCAGCTCCTGCTCAAACTGTACGATTGACTCGCAGGGGACCTATGAACTTCTAGTTCATAGGTCACAATGCAGGGTCTCACACTATACGACCCGATGCTCTGATGCGACCTGAATGCTCACACTGTGCGTCCATAAAATTAAGGTTATAACAGAAATTCTGTCGCTCGCTCTCCCTCTCTGTCTTTCACTCACACAGACACACCACCACCATCAACTTTGCTAAATTGCTAATGAAAAACATTGATCAGGCAGCTGTGATTGAGCAGCAATGTAGATCCAACTATTTTCACGGTTGTTGTGGTCGTGATAATTTTGTGAGGCCACATCGAAAAGGCTTGGATGAGCTTTCCAAAGTTCTACAAGCTGTGCCTCCGTCGCTTGTGTGTCCAGATCACATGCTGCACTGCCGTGCTGCGCCGTCTTTTTCGCTGACATTTGTGTTTGCGCGTGCGCAGTGTGACAAACTGCGGTGACACCCTCACGACAGTCGCGAGGATTTCCCGACCAAGCGATTGATGATCGGGAGCTGGTCGTGAGGTGTTAATCGCGTCTCGTTAACCCACGTATACTACACGATGCACGACGCACGATGAAGGCCAAAATCGGGCCGATCGCCAAAACGGTCGCACGACTCAAAAATCGGCTCAAAATGGGCCAAAAATCGCACAGTGTAAGACCAGCATAAGCGAATCACTCAGGACTCACTCACCCCCTCCCTCCTGTGCTGAATCGTAAGCGTAAGTGAATCGCTCAGGACTCGCTCACCCCCTCCCTCCTGTGCTGAATCATTCTTGGTTGGCAACCAATGTTAAGGAGCATTACCGCCCCCTGGCTCACAGCTCAATGGACATTTAGATGATAAAATATATATTTGACACATTTAAGGAAAATACTAATAAAATAAAAATAAACAAAATAAATGTTTATTAAGCAATTTTGATAGGAAATTGCTTAATTTTAGAAATGTTTTTGCTGTTTTTTGCTCTATAAAATAGTTGTTTTCTTTTAGAATCACTCATCTTAGCAGTAGGATATACATGAAAATGTACATTTTTTGCACTCTCTGGTCAACTGACTCAGTGAATCAAATGACGCAAAAAAAACCCGATTCACTTTGGTGAGTGACTCATTAAAACTCGATTCAGTAAAGAGAATCAAATTTACCATCACTAGGAAGAACCGGGTCCAGGGCAGGGGTGGATCTAGAAGGGTGGCATGGGGTGGCATGGGGTGGCATGTACCATCCTAAAATCATCTCTTGCCACCACAAGTGCTACTCTAGTTTTGCATATGACAGTGTTGTTTATTAAAATAAGATAGCATAAGCACTTTGAGCGTAGTTACAGTTAAAAGTGATTATAAATTCTAAAACTGAATATATTGATAATTTCCTCTTACTTTTGCTGTTTTGCTTCCACCACAATAAAATCACACTTCCTGCACAGCTCTAAGTGTACTTTAAGAACAGTTTCTCATCTAAAAATCAAAATTTTCTGCATTATTTGCTTTCTTATTACCCACCTGTCTACCATTGTGTACAGCGCTGTCGGCCAGTGTTTTTTTGTGTGTTTTTTTTAATAACCTCCGACAAGAAAGCGCCATTTCTGCTGTTCAATATAGAAGAAATGTCAACTTTTTAAAATGATGGCACATTGCAAAACACTTAGCTGTGTCTCTAATGAAACCTCTGTTACTTTGCTCTGCTTCACTTCAGCAGCATCAGGTAATGTTCATATGTTGATGCATGGTTTTCTTTTTTTGTTCTACTACAGAATATTTTTAAGGATATCTGCTATAAAAAGCCAGGCCAGAAAAATCTCGTTAATGTTTTTCTGTTTTATCCTCAGGCACTTTGACATGGTACTTTGGCATCTGCTGTGATGCTTACACCTCTGATGAAGTCTCACAAGTGTCAGTACTGATAAATGATCAGAATTATAATATTTCTGACTGTCTGAGACAAAATTTCCCCAATTCAAATTGAATCAAAATCGTGGATCGAATCGAATCAGGACCTTGTGAATTGGAATCAAATCGATCGTAGACATCAGTGACAATACCCAGCCCTATTTCACACAGGTGGTTGGTGCACTCTGGAAATGGAATAAAGGTGAGTGTTATTAACCTTTTGGGGTCCACGGACACACAGCACCTCCAAATCACATAACTGATTTAAGATGACTTTAAGCTCCAATAAGCTGCAGCCACGCTGAGTCTCTATTTCAGCCTGTGTTGAAAGTTCAGACTTCAAAGTATACACCGGTTTTTAAATTTTAATGACAGACCACTAAATCCAGAGTTAAGATTAAAAAATATATATAAGCATTTTTTCTAAATACTATTATCTCATTTTGTGTGTGTGTGTGTGTTTTTTTTTTAAGCATTTTCTAAGGACAGCACAAAAACACTAAAGAAAAAAAATAGCCACCTCTTCCCTACTGGTGGAAAAATGTAGCATGTCGACCAATTCTTTTTAAAAAAGTCAACGCGTGGGATTTGGTTGTTTAGGAATAGGGGAAGGTTTTAGGAGTGATGGCAGAGAGACAGAACGAGCAAGTGAAAGAGAGAGACAGAGAGATATCGATAGCGAGTTTTAAGATGTGAGAGATTTGTGAGGTTTAGTGTGGAGTTAGTCTGTTATGTAGTCGTTGTTTTATTTTGTGTGTCAGTGAGGGCACTAATGACTGTGACAAACCACTAACCTACTAATCGGAAGGTTAGTGGTTCAATCCCTGGCTCCTCCAGTCTGTATGTCAAGTATACTTGGGCAAGATACTAACCCCAAGTTGCTCTCCGATGCAACATCGGAGTGTGAATGTGTATGAATGTAGTTAGGAAGCATGCAGAAGTCTAGAAGAAAGTGCATGTGTGACTGGGTGAATGTGGAATGTTGTACTTGCTTTGAGTACTCCAGGAGAGTAGAAAAGCGCTATATAAGAATCAGTCCATTTACAAAGGCAGATTGCAATGCAAATGCTTGTTTGCTAAAAATCTGACGTGGAAGAGCAATTTTACCTTTCAGAAAAACAACCCAAGCACTGTGTGAAATGTACAGGTTATAGGTCATATTAAAGGTGGGAAAAACCTGTGAAATATATACTGGCTTATTTTTTCCCCACAAAAGCAACTTACATTTTAACAAGAATATGCTAAAATTCTTGTTAAAGAATTTAACACACACAAACGCACACACAGAACTGGGGTTGTTGTGCACTTCACCTATAGGAAGACTTTGTTCACTTAAAAGTCACAAATTAAAAATCAGAAAGCTACAGACAAGAACATGAAATACAATTTGTTTTTTTATTTAATATAAGGCAACGAAAGAAATCACATCTTACAAACAGGTTACACACAAACCCTAGTTATCAAAATAGCTACAAGTAATTTAAAGCCCAAACCCATTCCCAATGATGTAACAACTGCCAAGCTGAATATTATAAAGTGCGTTCTTATTCTCAATCATCACCAAGGCAAAGTTGTCATTATGTTTTTCTCAAAGTGAACCTGACAGAACTTTCAGGCGCTAAGCATGTGTTTTTAATCACTTTAATATCTCAGTTGCGTCTACACAGCATTCATTTACCTTTCACATCAATCAAAATGTACTGCTTGAAGGATCATTTGATCAATAACATGTGTTCCCTTGCTTTGCAAATGTAAAATTAAATTGAGATTTTAAAAAAGACAAAGAAGAGAGTCCATATTCAACACTGTAAGTCAGCATCTTTCGCCGTCTACGGATCGGTCAGTTCTTTTCTCTAAAGAAAAGGAAAGACATGTTAATGTTTGCTTTAATCTTTTAGTTTAGTAAGAAAGGCAGACTCATAGGCAGCATTTGAATTTATAATGCAAGCTGCATATATGATTTGTTCTACTAATAACAAACAACAGAGATAATGCATTCAAAAATTCATGCCACAGCTCTCCCATGTCAACTGCAAGCAAAATCATGCAAAGGGCAACATGAACACATTGGGAACTGCATGAAGGATGGGGCAGTTATTAAATCTTGTCCAATGAAAAAAAGCTGGAATGAGCAGAGAGTGGAAAAGGAAACAAAAAAGGACAAAAACAAACAAACAAAAAACTTTAACTTATTTCCTTCTTTTTTTTTAATGTCATTCCAGGGCCAAAGCTTTTAGACAAGTCCACTTTATCATATCACTGCGAGTCATTTTAGATACATCAAAGATTATTTTCAGTCAACTGGAGACACCTAATGGCTAAAATGATGTATTATTTCACACTCAAACTTCTGTCCTAAAATGTATTTGA